ACCCATTTCCGAGTAGTTTCTCATTGGATTCAATACAACAACAACTAATTGACTGCCAATTAGTCACAAAAAATGCCTAAAAATATTGGTTTGTCGGAACGGATTTGTGACAACAAAATTGTTTTTTGAGATTATACTGAGATTGAAGCCCAGATCCCAAGGACCCAATGCATCTTATATTATTAAGCACAAAGTTAATAATTGACTAAACTTTTTGTTTAGAATTCATTATTGAATTAATTAGGAGTTATTTAATAAATATCTATTCAAGAAATTTATAATTTTTAAATATAAAAATTATTCTTATATAATAAATGAGAATAATATATACATGAATGACATCAATACAATAAATAGTTTAAATTGAATTTAATTTATATTTTTAGATCCCAATTGAAAGGATACGTCAATTTTCTAAAAGGAATTTGCATTTTGCTTTAAATTATAATATTTTATTATTGTTATGTAAAAAGTGTTTTTATTTGTTTGACTCGATTTCAGACATCAGATTAAATGCAGTGACGATTGATATGGAAATTAAATGTATATTTAATAAATAATTTATGCCAACAACTGAGTCGCTGCCTAAGAGATACACATAATAAGCATATTTGTGTTACAAATAAGTTATTTTAAAACAATGTTTTGTTTATAAAATTTATATTTATATAAATTAATGAAAAAATTTAACAAAAATATAAAATGAATGACTATTTGTGAAAATAACTATTTCAGTGAATTTTCACTTTTTAAATCAAAGTTTGGGTTTTGAGAGTCCATTCCCGGAGACATATCGCTAGATATGAGTGGATTTGAATTTATCAAACGAAATGTTTCGCTGTTTAGCATTTCAAACTCAATAGGCCTGAGTTGTGGGCACACAAATCTCGGTCCATTTGTTTCCTGTCTCGACCTTTTATTTAGTTTACTGTAAATTAGATTTACAAATGAAATTGTAATTAGAAAGTAATTAATTAGAATTTTAAATAAATGAATTACTTTTTTCTCTGTCGATATAAATAAAAGGCAAATCCAAAAAATGCCACAAAATTGATGGCCAATGAGATTACTAACAGTAAATACAAAACACTGGATGTGTTGTAATTCTTGGTGTAAACTATTTTTCTCGACGATTGCGTTAAATTGCATGAAATAGTTGTCGTCTTATTATTCTCGTCGTAAATATTATTTTCGTTATTATTATTATTATTAATTGTAAATAAATTTACTTCAGTAGTCGTTGTTAACTCATTGCCAGACTCTGATCTCTCGCTAATGGTGTGAATCTGAAACAAATTCATACAATAAACACATTATTATTATTAACAACATTGCAATGAAAAATATTTATTTATATTTATAAACTAATGTATGTAATAATCCTCAAAGAATTTCTAGTAAATTAAACAAATGTGTGTATTTAATAAATATATAAATTATATAAATTTACTTGTCTAGTAATTTAACTCCATTAATAAATAGTAATATAAATATTAAACATAAAATTATTATGTTATAAGTTGTCACTATTTTTGTTTGAAACATAAACATAATGTTAAAACTGTTATAATTGTAAAAACTAATTAAATACTCACAGATTCTATACAATTGATATTAGGATAGAGACGAGTATTAAAGTTAATCTGTGGACAAACGCAATGGTATTGTCTTTGATTGATAGGTAGACAGAGATGTGAACATTTGGATTGAAAGCATCTGTTTGTGGAAAAGGGCTGAAGAGAGGGATCAATGATTGCAATGGACTCGATGTCAGAACCGGACTCTGTTTTGATGAGATAATTGATTTGAGTTCCGTTGAGACCAAACTTATTGGTCTTAAGGATAGCGCTGTGAAAATAGTTGGACCAATAGATGTCATCTCCAAATATTGTCATATAATAAGACAATTTGAATAATTGGTGCGATTTTAAGATACTCTTCATATCATTGCCATTGAAATCGACGGAATAAAACTGAAAGAGCAGTCTATCGATCCAATACAGTCTCTTCAGCTCCAGATCGACGGCCAAAGCGATGGGCTCTCTCAGGTCGGTGTCAATGAGAACCGTTTGATTGGATCCGTCCTCCGATGCCCTCATTATTCTTCCCCTTCTGTTAATACTATTGTCAGATACGCTCCAAAAGAGCAGCGAATCCATGGGATTGACCGCCAAATCGAGGATCGTATTGAAGATCATTTCGTTGATCACAATATAGCCATATAATGGTTGAGTCAAATTAAACGCAATGATCTTGTCTTCAATATTATAAAAGACCAGATTATGGATCCAATCGATCGACAGCCGTATTGACGCCGACTTATTCAGCCTCAACAACAGGCTCTTCCTCTTGATTCCCAACACATTCTCAGCACTTATTTTACAAATAAATATATAAAATTACATATAATTTGCTGGCATTTGAGTGACAGGAGAGTGAAGAAAAAAGTTTTGTCAAACCTGGGCTGAATAGGCATCACATATAATGCATTTTCCGGTTCAATCACTCTCCACATCAATAGATTGGCGCTCAGACTATAATCAATTTGCCCGACGTATGACTTGATGCCAGTGGTGTTGGCCAACAGATCTGTCTCTTTAATGCTGATGCCATTCCTCGTCAGTCTATCCATTTTGACGCCACGAATATCTTTGCGATAGATATTAAACACAAGCATTGAATCGTTATATTTGCCGGCGTTTGACACGTAATCGTCGGCCAATACATGTCGACAATATATGATTAAAATAAGCAATATTTTCATTTTTCAATCCAAATGATATGTTAGACATAATTACAAAACAATATTATATGAATGTGTTTAACATAGTTTGTAAAACAACTACCAATATATTATTTATATAAATATAAATCACATGTTTATTCTCCGGCACTCAAAGTACAGCACATATGAAGTGAAGTGTCGGTGAATATGAGAAACTTTTTTAAGATAGAAATATTAGAGCAATTATATTAACACTAATTCCTAAAGACCTTCAAAACCAATTTATATAAGGTTTTTCATATTTTTTTGTTGCTGTATTGAGTGAGAGATTAAATATATTTATGGTCTCTTAAGTGACACACAATTAGACGAACTGTTCACTCAATTTAGTTACTAAAGAATAAATCATAAAAACATTTTATTTATGTCTCTTATCGTGAATCTAGGGTTTTGTTGATAACGATTGTGATTGTGGTGTAAAAATCATTGTATTATAACATTGGGAGAGAGGGATGGTATTCAATACTGTGAATTAATGTGATTAATATACTATATAGTTAAATGCAACATATTTCCGTTTAAGACATATTTAGCACAATAACAGGAATTGAGAGAGAGAGGGATCAATGATTGCAATGGACTCGATGTCAGAACCGGACTCTGTTTTGATGAGATATTGTTTATTGTATGAATTTGTTTCAGATTCACACCATTAGCGAGAGATCAGAGTCTGGCAATGAGAGGAGAGAGAGAGAGAGAGTCTATTGACTCAATAAATTGTAATATCTGTAAAATAATAAATGTCAATACTTTCAAGTACACTTTTGTTATATTGTAATTAAAAATAGTTATCTAAATATCTCGTTAATTAAAATATACAATTATGTTTTAACTTTTTATTTATTATAATTTTTGCCTTTATATGGTTTATTAAATTAGATATTATTTCCATTTCTTATTTTTACAAACAATGATTGTTTCCCAATTAAAGCGTTAGCCAAGCCTTGGGATTATTGACTAAAATATCTGCAATATTGTCATCAGTATATCCTCTCATTTTCATTTTGGGCACAGTATTCATATGGATGTGTGAGAAGCCGTGTCCGCCGTATTTCATCTAAATAACGAGAAATAACACATATTTTACTACAAAACATAACAGAAAAATAGACATTGAAAGCAAATTGTTTGTCAAAATTACGAGTCGGTGTTTGGTGTGGATGTCGTGCGAAATTGTGATCCTATGACCAAATCCGTGGTCAATCAGTAGTTTTAATCGTCTAATTCTTGTCGCGTCGTTAGGCATATCGAAAGCGTCGCTCAATTCATAATAAGAGCATTCGCTGCCAAACAAATCAAATTCACTGAAACAACCCATTTCTGCAAACTCTAGCAATTCGTTGTCATTAAGAGTGCCTGAAATATATACGCAAAGCAATTAATGCAATCCAATTGTGTGTTTGGCAGACAAATACTGACGGTCTAAGTGAGACATAACAGTCTTGTCGGCCCGACCGCCGGCCTCCAGAAGTATTCGCATTATCTCTTTGGGTGCGTCGGCGTTACGGCCCGGATGTAAGATCACCGGCACATTCAACTCGCGCTGCACCTGAGCCGTGGCCACCAGCGCTCGCCTCTCGAACGGATTGATCGGCCAATCGCTGGCTATTTCGCCGATAACACCGCACTTAATGCCATTCACGCCCACCAATAGATCCGACTTAATCTCGCCGTAAATCTGTTCAGTCGTGTATTGGACGACATGCGAAGGCATAGCGCTCTGTACGTAAAAGCCGGCGCCGGCGATGATGTTAACGCCCGACTTGACAGACATGTCCCTGAGTTCGGGCAAACTCTTGCCAAAAGTGGTCACTTCGACCACAGAGTCGCCGCCATTGAGTTTCAAAAAGCGCAACTCATCGGCGATCACATCCAACACCTCTCTGTCCCTATAGTTAAGGTTATCGGAGTGCGAATACGGATGAAAGTTAGTCCACCAGAGATTGCGGGCGTCTATTGAACTCGTGTTTAAATATTCATGTCTTGAGTTGGGTTTACGCGGTTTGAAAGGCTTGCCGTCGATCTCGTGGTAGAGGTGCTCGTGACAGAGCGTCGACCCCAACAGTTCCGGCCCTATGGGACCGCACACTGCAAACGCAAACACAAATAATCATAATATAAAACATAATATTTTTCTCTCATTAAATCGCTGTAAATACAGGTCTTTGAGTGAAAGTACAGAATATGTTAAGTAAATTGAAAGGCGATGTAAAACAAGGCTATGAATTATTTATGGCATAGATTTGTACGTAACGTATGTTTTAACGCATACCTGTTTGGATCATCCCTTTTGGCAATTCTGACATCTCTTCGCAATTATTAAATCAATTATCAAATTCTTGTTTAATTTGGACGCAAACCCGATGTTTGACTCTTTGGCTTCAGTTGTAAACCGATGTTTAATTTACTGATAGATGTCTTGTAAATGATTTGATTTTCAAATTTTTACCATTTGATGGGTACTAATAGACTCCACATATCTAATCGAAATGTTTACTTATTTAATATAATCTGATGTTAAACTCAAAAATGTTTATCACTTATTATAAAAACACATAAATTTAAACCCAGAGAGTGTGTGCGCCTGTAATTTGGGTTGGGTTTCATTTGATAGATTATTTAACAAGGTTTGCCCACAACACACATTACACATGCAATTTTTATTTAACACTTATATAACAAATTTAAACATGTTTAAGAATTTTTGTTTACTTTTTGATTATTTTTAGTTATTTAAAAAAAATGCTAAATACGATAACTTTTTGACAATTACTGACATATTTTACAATTTCACATAAATATAAGTCACTGATAACGAGCACATAATTTCATTAATAAATTCATTCATTATGCGTCGATATTGTAGTCAAGGGCTTAATGAATAGGGTTTTTATTCTCTCTCTCTCTCTCTTAACAGGTATGCGTTAAAACATACGTTACGTACAAATCTATGCCATAAATAATAT